GTAAGTACTCAGTGAAAATGGCTGTCGAAAAGCCAAACAATATGCGAAATTCAGAAGGAAAAAAAAAGCAATTTCCTCGGTAACTTCAGCCAAGCAAAGTGCCTATGCGCAAGTGTAGTGGGGGTATGTTGATGCTATCTCGATCAAAAAAGGCGCATCGTTTTTAGTGAAAAATAAACTGACTGAGTGTCGGAATAGAAATGTTACCGGATAGGCTTCCCTCGGATCTCCGCCATAATGTTACTTTCGCCACCAAGATATTCATAACACAAACTCAGAAAGCTATAAATGACGAATGCTGAAAAAAAACAAAAACTTAAGAAATCAGAAATGTGCCTGAGAAAGGTGGCAAAAAACTTAATGCAGTCACCTCAACGGCTGCTGCGACAGCGGCTGACCGAGTGGTAGCCCCTAACAATCGCCCGCACTACACACTCCTACCAGCTGCAAACAGCAGTTAGCAGTCGGATGCTCCGGCAGGCAGTTGCACTGACATTACTACACAAGAACACAGCTCAACAACGTCCATTCCAAGCATTTTGGTTCTCCGCCCGCAAATCACAAGACCTAATCAACTGCACGCTTACTGGCGCTAGCTACACTGCAATTCTGGGACACAAGCAGCGTACCTTCATAACAATCCCGAATAGCGTTGAAGTAGACGTAAACGTTGTTGGAGAGGAAAAGAAGACTGAGCCAGGAGTCCAGCGAATACATTGGTACGATGAACAATATCCGTACAATCCAGCGCTGCTCGATCGGGCACGTGTACCATCGCAAATGCTGATAGATCTGAAGCGCAGTTCACGGCTTGTGCAAGCTCACACTGTTAGCGCAGCATGCGTACAAACACATCGAAGCAGCGCAGCAACACAGTGAGTTCTGCTGCTCGTCTAATTTCAGCTTTTTCAAAATCAATTCCAAATAGTTAGTACAATGAAGCATGGTACCTGATATGAGGTGATAATGAGGGCGGCCCACGTAAAGAAGCCGGCGATGCCACGTGCAAACGTGGAGCGAAGGAACAAGTCGTCAGGCATCGTCACATTTGTCATTGCTCCTGCAACTTATCTGCTGCTTTACAGCGCAAATGCCTCACCGACCGTATCCCGAGCACACGAACCGCGCACATCCAAAGCAACATTTTCGCACAAAACACAAAACAAAACGAACAAAGCATGCTGCGCTTTCGCAGCTACTGCTGCAGCATTGGAATGCCTGGCTGGCCAAGTGCACTGGTGCAGTGGGCATCATGCATTTACACTTCCAAGAAGCAACGTGCTGAAGAAGCTTACCTCAACGCCCCACTCATACGCACTGATACTTCTTCTTGCGCACACATTGAACAAATCTCAAAAGCAGAATGTGCATGAGAAAGGCTGGCACAACGCTCCCCCCGCTAAATCGCATCCTCCCATCTACAGTGCTCGCACCCGC